ACTGACCCAGAGCAAAGCACTAAGTCAAGCAGGTTTCGACAGACCCAGCCCTTCAGAGATTAGCAGAGGAAGGGATCCCATAAGCTTCCATACAGTTTCAGAAGTCAGGAACAAGACCGGACCGACCATGGCCAATTCTGGAATCTCTCAGTTTACTACCCTGGCTTATTCTCTGTCTCTGAGTCCCTGGTGTTAATGTGCTTGGCTGCTACCCAAAAGGTTCGAATTCACCCAGAGGTGCCTTGGAAGAAAGGCCTGGTGATCTACTTCTCCAAAAGCAGCAATAGAAAGCCCTCTGGAGGTTGGTTCTACTCTGACACACATGGCCCCTGGGAGCACAGAGCCTGCTCTTCAGGCTCAGGACCCCCAAGAACACAGAGGGTATCATGACTGACCATAGCACACGTGGCCAGAGCGGGTGTTTGAAAGCAGGGCCTTCCTCAGCCCAAAGCTGGGCCGGCAGAAGCTTCGACGGGCAGTGGTGACAAGCCTAGGCTGCCTGAACTTTGCAGGCCTTCCGGCTGACCCGGCAGCTGTTCAGCCAAGGAACACACTTGCTCGTGCCTCTGCCACGCCCCTTCTCCCTCAGATGCACATCCTCTCCATCTTGGTGGGGCTCAGCTAAGGAGCCCAGGCTTCGCCCACCACCCAGCCAGCACTGACACTCACAATGACAGCCGCTGGGTCCTCTGGGCAGGCAGGCAGGCAGGATGGCAGAGTACTGCCAGATGACAAACGACATCCATGCTCATAGGTGCTGAGGGGACCTTGTTGGGGTTCACTCAGAATTTGACCGTCATGCTCAGGTAGAGGGCCCCTCTCGGCCTGACGGAGGAGAGTGGAAGGCTCTCTGTTGTCTGCTCTTTGAGGTGGGGACACTGCTGGGCACACATGGATATGTCCAACGGTGCCTTCTGTGCCAGGTTTAGCTGAGACAGGAGGAAGGGGACAGATTGGGAGGAAATCTGACAGGGAATGGAATGGAAGGAGGCAGATGTGTGCACATAAACACACCTGTTCTTAGGAGTACGAAACAGTGGAAAGCCAAGCAAGGTAACTAGGGCAGAGATGGAAGATGCTATTGTGCACATCGCGGAAGACGGTATCTTAGGCAACTCAGCCCAGGCAAAGTGGCGTCACACTGAGAACAGTTTTTGCAGGGTGAAGGCACGGGTGGCTGTGTGGGCTGCACAATGGACAGCAACGGTTTTCAACCCCGCCACTGGACACCTCCAGGGGACGGACATTGGAGTGCTCTGGCACCCAGTGGGTAGAGGCCGGGAACGCTACTCAACATCCCTGCAATGAGAAGGACAGCCTCTCTCTCCACAGATTCTCAGACCACCAAGTGTCGACAGTGTTGAGGTCCAGAGACCCCGGGGTAGACCCAGGCCAGCCTCTCACGGATGAGACGGGCAGCAGGCATCACGGAACTTTATGAGGCTCGATCGCCGCCTGCGTAGGAAAACTTTGTGTTGGCTCTGTAAAGGGACCTTTGCTGAGCTGTTCTTATTTTGAAACGTGCATGTGACTAAAGCAAACGGGAAGGTAGCTGGCATACAGTAGGTGCTCAATAAATGGGAAAGAAAAGAAGAGAGGAAAACCCAAACCCTGTTGCTGTCAAGTCAATTTCTAGCGACCCTATAGGACAGAACAGAACTGTCCCATAGGGTTTCTAAGGAGCTCTGGTAGCATAGTGCCTAAGGCACTTGACTGCTCACCAGAAGGCTGGCGGTTCAAACCCACCAGCCACTCCTCGGAAGGAAGGTTGGGCAATCCTACTTCCGTAGTGATACTGCCTCGGAAACCCAAGGAGGGGTCGCTATGAGTCGGGGCCGACTCAACGGCACATAACAACAACAACAACAACAACAAGCTTCACGGAAACAGACAGCTTGCTTCATCTTTCTCCCTTGCGGACACTGGTGGGGTGGAACTGGGACACTTTGGTTGGCAGCCGAGCGCTTAACCACTGCGCCACCAGCAACGAGCGGCGTATCTAGGAAAATAGTGCCCCTGTCCAAACAGATGACACCATCTTAAATATTTAGCATCACCGTGCACCCTGGGCAATTAACCCAAAAATCAGAACTCTGCCTTGGAAGCACAATTACTCATTTTCGTGTCTCTTTTAAAAAAAAAAAAAACCAACTGTCTTCCGGGTGACCCATCACCTTGGCCTGGGCAACTTTTCCTGCCACTTTGATAGGTTACATTGGGAGAAAATAGTCCCTAACGTCTAGAACCTTTTCAGGGGAAAGGACCGTAGACCGAAGGCCCGGCCAGGGAAGCGGAAGCCTAGAACAGACTGAGGCCACGGGGGGCTGCAGGGGTGGGACCTGGCAGGAATGGAGGGCGGGCAAAAGAGTTGGGGGTGGACCCTCTGGAGAAGAAAGCCCTGAAGGCAAGGAAGGGCTCCCAAACGGGAAGGCACGTCTTCACTTGCTGAAATGTCTCCCACTGGCCCTGGAGGCTGTCGTGGCCACCAGGCGGCGCTCGGTGGCGCAGGCACCGCCGCCTCTTGGATCCGCCTTCGGCCTCCAGAGCTCCTGAGAGAAGCTGTTGTTGTTATGTGCCTTGAGTGGGACCCGACTCATAGCGACCCCTTCTTGGGTTTCCGAGGCAGTATCACTACGGAAGTAGATTGCCCCATCTTCCTTCCAAGGAGTGGCTGGTGGGTTTGAACCGCCAGCCTTCTGATCAGCAGTCAAGTGCCTTAGGCACTATGCTACCAGGGCTCCCCCTGAGTGAAGTACAGTAGTGAAAAGGGCCTCCTGCCTCTCCGTAGCCACTGCTACAACTCCCAGTATGTCTTGGGTCAACCAGTCCCCCTCCTCCACACACTGGGCCTGTTTCTTCCAAATTTCTGATGTTATTAGTTGCCAAGTTGATTCTGTCTGTCTCCTCTTTCTATAAAGCTCTGCCCTGTGGTGTTAGCAGACACTGTCTGGAAAGCACCTGTGAGGAGTTAGGGAGAGGATGAATGATACCCGCAAGCTCCCAGCCCCATGCAGCAGTCCTGTGCTGCCTGCCTTCTGGGGCAGAACCCCGGGTGGCAGGCCCAGGGCTGGGGTGGGGTCTCAGCCCTCAGACACCTTTGCTCACTGGGAGGGTAACCTTCTCAAACAGTTGCACCAGTTGTTACGCCTAAGCCATAGAAGCTGGACTCCGACTGGGTCTTCCAAGTAAGCCAACAGCTTGGGGGGCTGGGGGCAGCAAAGCTAGACCAGGGCACAGAGACCACTGAGGTTTCAGAGACCACTGTCCCTCCCGGAGCCCTTCCAAATGTCTCCAGCCTTGTGGAGGATGTTGTGGCGGGACCAAGGTCATGATCCACCCTTGAACTTGCCATCCAACTGGAAAAACCAGATGTACCCTTGAGATCTGATGAGGGAGGACATATCTCACAAAGCGTGTGCAAGGGCGGGAAAGGAGGGGAGAGGTACTGAAAACTGAGGCCAGGGAGGATGCCAAGGCTGAGCTTTGGCAGCCCAGCCAACGGGGTGGGGCTGTGCTTCATGACTCCAAGATCCTCGGCAGTTTCTGCACAACAGTGTTTCTCTCAGGAATCCTCACTGTTGGCATTTCAGACGTGGACAGGGGCAGAGACCAGCTTGCCCAATCAAGGGGGAAAGTGAGGCTGGAGGGCAGAGCTCTGCCTGGCAGGCCAGCACCTCTCCCGCTCACAGGCTTGCCTCCACTTCCACATGTGCGCTCCCCTGCCCACTTCACATTTGTGAAGAGAATGAGAAGAACCCTATCCTGGCACAAGGAGAAATCAAGGTAGAATGGCTGGCTCCAGGCTGCCAGGAGCTGCACTTCCAATCTGGGATCCTGCTAGATGGCAGGGCAGGGGAGGGACTGGGGCCTCCTGGGTCAGGAGAGGGGAAAGGGGTAAGGCTAGCCCGTTTCCCCAGCAGGGTGGGTGCCAGCCCTCCACGCGGAGGGTAAGGTCTCTTCCCCACTACTGTATACTGCTTCGGGCCCTACACCTTCCAGACTCTGGAGGTGACTGGTGTGGTCAACCACGTGGAGGCGTTGCAAACCACCCAAGCCCCCTCCCACATGTACACGCACACTGCCAGGCCTGGGGGCACAGGACCACCACCTCAGGATGCATTTAATCCTCACAGACTCAGGGAGGCGGGGCCACACGCCCTGCCACCCCCCACCCCCCACCCCCCCCAGGAAGCCAACCTCAGGACTGGCCCAGGAGCCCTGGGGCTCAGGTTCTCCCTTCCTTGCCCTCCCTGAGTGAGTGCAACATGCTGCCCCCATTTCCTGCTTCCTTGGTGTGCACTTCACAGCAGGCTGGGCCTCAAGTTGGCCTGCCCCTTCCCCCAGGTGCAGTGCATCATCCCAAGGTTTTTTTTTTCCCCTAAGGAAGGAGATGAGGCCGAAGTTGGGCTCAGAAGCCAGAGGCTGGAAAAGCTCCTGTCCTTCCACGGGCACTTTGGACCCCCACTCCCCCCACTTCCCTGAGCTGGGCGCCCCCAGCCCCCCGCTTGATTCTGGCAGTGTCTACGTTGTTCATTCACCCACTCCCCTCAGCCCCCACCAGTCACACAGTGAGGAGGGGGCAGTGTGGGCTTTTCGGTTGGTCCCCTACCATCATGGCATCAGGCTGGCCTGCCTCAGGCAGGAGGCCCTGGCTCCCATCTCAGCCTGACTTTGGCAGTGAGGCCAAGGCTGGTCTTTGGCTGAAGTGTAACAAGGAAGGCACAGAAGCCCTGGCTTGTGAAAAGGACCCAGGACTGTCCTCAGGGAACAGGGCCCTGCCTCGGCCAAGCCCTCTCCCTCCCCTGGGTGGCAGACCAAGGCACAGTAAGGGTGGGGGCAGCCCCATGGGAAAGCATCCTAAGACCCTCCCCTGTATATGCCTGCGGCAGGTAGTACCCAAGGAGGCTTAGAACCCTGGGGGCCAAGATGGCAAGGCCATGCAGAGTGAGGAAGGCGACCTCGCACGAGGGGTCTCAAAGTGGCAGTGTCAGTTCCTGCCGCTAGCTGGCGGCCAGCTGCAGCGTCTTCCCGCCATTCCACTCAGGGTCTTGTGCAGGAGCCCACAGGGACCGCATCATGAAGGCTCCAGTCACTGGTGCCCAAGCTGCATCTTCCACCTTGAGTGCAGAGACAAGAACAAGACTGGAACCCAGGAAGCCTGGCTCCGAGCCCTGGTCTTTTCCCTTGTATCCCAGCGCCCTCTTGGAGGGGACCAGAAGCACCAAGAAGGATAAGCCAGGGAGCCCATCACATTAAGGCATGAGGACCAGACCCTCTCCCCGTGTGGGGAGCTGCAGGTGAGTCCAGTCCTGCGGAGGGAGGGGTTAGACAGAAAGGAGAGTGGAGACTGAGCTTCCACTCATGTAAACGAGGAGGCAGAGACCCCTGCCTGGCTGGAGTGTGTAACTGTCTTGAGATTCAGAAGACCCTCCTATCTGGGATTCGGGGTCCCTGAGGCCAGGATGGAGGCTGCTGGGCAGAAGGCTGACAGGGGTCCAATGTGCAAACTGGTGCAGGGTCTGTCTTGGTTCTCCATAGTTCCAGGGATGGGCAGCCAGTCAGTCTCAGGTACCCATGGGTCCTGCCTGCTGCTGTCTTGTGGCTCAGGAAATCACACAATTGCTGGGCTTGGCAGGACTGAAACCAGGTTTACCTGTGAAAACAAGGAACACAGACAGGATGGAGTGAAGTTCATGGGGTTCCAGCCTCCTGCCCCGCTGCTGTGCACGGCCCACCCCGTGAATCCTGGGCCTGGGTTGATCCCCAGCTGCTGATGGTGAAAGCAGGTCAACAGGGCCCCTAGGGAAGCCTGAGGAAGGTTCTTCCTGCCCTGGTGGCCACAGCAAGACCCCCACTGTACGGGCAACCATGGGTGGGTTGCCACCCATTTGCAACTTATCGGCCAAACTAAACCAGCTGCCATCGAGTACAGTCTGACTCATGGCGGGCCCATGTGTGTCACAGTAGAACTGTGCCCCACAAAGTTTCCTTTCTTTAAATAACCTTCTACTGTGTTTTTGGTGAAGGTTTACATGGCAGTTTAGGTCCCCATTCAACAACTTCTATACAGAGTGCTCAGTGCCCCGTAGGGTTTTCAATGGCTGTGATCTTTTGGAAGTAGATGGCCAGGGTCGATTTGAACTACCAACCTCTCAGTTACTAAGCCCAGTGCTTAACCATTGGCATCATCCAAGTGGCCAGCAACTTCTCTAAAAAGTGGGGTGAGCCAGAGCTGCCATCTCCCAGCCTTACCGGGGTCAAAGGACTCAGGAACCAACCACCAGAGCCAGTGGCTTGAAAGTCTTGCCAAACCGTAGGTCACCAGCAGCTTGAACCGTGTGCAGCTTCACAGCCTACAAAGCACAGCCATGCTGCTTCTCTCACACAATTCTCACAGCTGGCAGTGCCGAGAAATGGCCAGCGCCAGCCCTGCCTCACAGCTGCGGGCAGAGAGGCCAGGGGCTCAGCGCCTGTCAGCACCAGCGCCAGGGCCTGGTCTGCACCCGAAGCCTCAGCTTCTTCCTCACTCTGGGGCCTAGGGTGGAGGAGGGGGTAAGCACCGCTAACAGAGTGCCAGGTGCTGTGGGACTATTGTAGTTTAGGGGGCATGCTTCGTTGGGGGGGGGGGGGGGGAGGAGAGAAAGCTGTTCTCCTCCAGGTTCCCCCCTTCCCCAGGCACCTACAACGCATTGCTTGGGCCGGACCCCGGCTCTGGGCCCGTGTGGGAGAGACGGCAGGGGCAGGCGCTGACACCTCCGGCCGGTGGGGGGGCCGGGTGGCGGCTCCCAGTCCTCGAGCTCCGAGCTCCGGCAGCTGCTTCCCAGGTGGAGCCTGCCCAAGCTATTTTCTGCCTGTTCCTCCCTGCACAGCACAGCGAGGGCTGTCTCCTTGGTGCTCACACCACCTTCCAGTAGCACTTCAGCTGTGAATTTAATTAAGGCGGCGTCTGCCTCCCCTTTGGGGTCATTAGCACGAGAGAGACACTAAGCACAAACAGATGTGGGGCACTGGTACTGGCAGCCGCCCCCCTACTCCACTGACCACCAGGCTACTCACCACGCCCATCAACCTAGCCTTCTCCAGCCAGACGTAACCAACACTTTTGAACTAACTACAAACCCAGCTGGGCCTTAGCCACATGGTGCCCCTAGACTAGGGCAGGAGGTTGCGATGACAGCGCTCAAGGCTTAGAAAAGGTGAACCGAGAACCTCAAGTGCGCCTGCACTGGGCTCAGGGGTCCGGGAGCGCCGGCCCCTCCTCAGCGCGGCACTGAGCTTGCGTCTGGTGCAGCTGGGCTGCCTGGATCAAAATGCTGCTTTCCCACAGGCCCCTCGCTGAGCCGACGGCCTCTGCCTTGCCTGTGGCTGCTTGTGTTATTTGCTTGGTCAACAAAGCAGAGGCCCAGTTCCTCCCTAGAGGCAGCAGCCTTCTGGAGGCAGGTAAGCCAGTCCAGAGGAGCCCTGGTGACGCAGTGATTCAATGCTCTGGTGCTAACCGAAAGGTCAGTGGTTCAAACCCACTGGCAGCCCCACAAGATGAGTAGTCGGCTCCCTGGGAAACCCTCTGGGGCCGTTCTACTCTGTCCTCTAGGGATGCTGTGAGTCAGAAGCGAGTCCACGGCAGCGTGTTACGTTTTCTTACCAACTGCTGCCCAGCCGATTGTGGCTCATGAAGACTCGACCCCATGTGTGTCAGAGTCCAGCGATACTCAGTATGATTCCCAAGGGGCTGATTATCAGAAATGGATCAGCAGGCATTTCTTCCACAGCACCTCTGTGCGGACTTGAAAGGCCAAACTTTTGGTTGGCAGCTGAGGGCATTAACTGTTTGTACCACCAGAGACGCCAAAGGCATCAACAGGCAAAAACGTTTGTTTTGCAACATCTGTGCATAGCATGGGCAGCCAACGGAGGCTTCGGAAGGGAGCTGAGCTACAAAGGGGGCGCCACTTGGAGTGAGACTGGAAAGAGGGCTGCGGGATGGGGTAAAGTCACTCAATGTAGAAGGAGCAGCATGAAGCAAGGGCTGGAGCAGGGAAGCAGCAGGGCCCCAGGACCCGCAGTCTATGGTTTGGCTGGAATAAGGCGAGGCAGGGGCCACAGGCAAGGACAATGGGCTCCCCCTTCCTGCAGGCTTCAACATTCCCTTTATCTGGAAGACTGCCCCTCCCTGATGTCCACATGGCTTGCTCCTCCCTTGATAACCTGCTCAAGTGTTCTTTGTGGGAGAGGCCTCCCTACTCTTTGAAAGGGTCACGGTCATTCCCTCTGCCCCCACTCTCTCCTGTGTGAGCCCCCCTCTGTAAGAGCAGGGACTAGTTCTGTTTGTTCACTGCTGTACCGGGAACTTAGAACCGTACCTGGCACAGAGCACATCTTCCTAAACGTACGTTGCTTGAATAAAATAATGAACAGACAATGGCAAGCTACTCAATGGTCCAGTCGATGCTCATAACCATGGTGATAATGGCAACAGCAGCAGGGATTGATTGGGTGAGGCACATGCCCTCACTCACCTGGGACCTGCCTGACAGAGAGATGTGAGCCTTGGCCAGGCCTGAGGGAAACCAGAAGGGCAGAGGGCTTCCAATATCTGCCACTGAGAAGGACACCTGGCTCTTCCCTATAGCTGAGGGGAGTCATTCACCCAAAGGACCCTCACTCCGCTCCCCCTGGTGCTGTGTGATCGCAACTAGCAAGGCGATCCATTTATTACAACAGATTTCAGCCTCCAAACGCCCGCAGGAAAAACACTGAACTCTGAAATCTGGCTCTGACAAGCAGCTCTGGGGTAGACAGCCTGGAACTGGGGTCCAGGGCTCTTAAGAAGCTCCAAGTTCAGGAAGCACTTCCCAACATTCTATCTCAGCCAGGGGCTCCAGTTTTCAGGCGAGAGTGTCAAGACCACCCACTCCCAGAGATGACATGCCAGAGCCTGAAGTCCCCAAACTCAGGAGCCCAGTGGCCACAACCCTAATGCCTGTGGGCAGGAGCTGGATCACGCTGCCCGGCCACGGTGTCCCATCTGTGCACTACTTGGGGGAGCCTGAGAAAATTCTGGAAAGGCAATTGTCACAGCAGACCACTAGAGAGAACTGTGGGAGGAAAAAGGGGCCTTGGGAAGGTGACGACCCAGAGGGACTCTCCAGGACATCCTGGGAAGGCAGTGGTCACTCTTTTCTTCCCCTCACTTGGGGGGCTGAGGAGGCACCATGGGATGCCAAGGGGGAGTCAATCATATATTTGGGCCCCTGGCTCCCCAGTCTTTACAGATGTAGGGAAATGATGCCAACCTTAAACTTCTAGAAATAGCCCCAATGCCCTGAAGGGACCCCTGGGACTCAGGAAACCATGCTGCCCTTCTTGCACTGTGTGACTGCAGACACAGGAGCCTGCCTCTCTGAACCTCGGGGGTCTTGTTTGTGAAACTGTCACCAAGCCAGGTAGATGTGAGGACTAAGTGAGCCTCCGTGACAGTGTTTGGTGCCGTGTCTACCTGGCACAGGAGTCCCCGAGTGGTGCAGATAGTTAAGCACTCAGCTACCAACTGAAAGGTTGGCTGTTTGAATCCACCCAGAGGTGCCTTGGAAGAAGGGCCCGGGTGACCCACCCCCTTAAGGTCACGGCCACTGCAAACCCCGTGGGTGACACACGGGGTCCCCAGGAGGCAGAATCTATTCCGCAGCGAGCGGTTTGAGGTTTCCCTATGTAGCACTCGGCAGGTGCCGGGGGAGCTTGTTCCCTTCCTTCTCTTCTCAGCTGTTTTGAGAAGTATGGGCCATCTCCCAGTGACGGGACTCCGCCGTTTGGTAAGTAGCCCATGTGCCTACCAGACTGCCACACACCAGAGGTACCCATCAGGCACCCGATGACAGGCAACGAGAAAAGGGAGAGCAGGGGTAAGGCCACCTAGAAGCTGTGGGCCTGAGGGCGGAGGCTCTGAGGGCTTACTGATTCGGACAAGAGGACAGACTGCGAATCAGGCTTCTGAGGACACTCCTGCTGACTCCGGCGATCTGGGCCCCCTCAGGGTCCTACTGCACTGTGCTGAGGTGCCCTGCCAGCCTTCGCCCCACCCATCCCATCCAGCTGCCTGGGGACCCCCAGAGCTGCTGCCCATGACTGTCTTGACAACCAACTACCCACCTCTTTGACCCAGTCATTCATTCATTCATTCCAGTAGTTGCATAAACATTCACTGAGTATCGGCATCATGGCAGGCACTATACCAACACAGTAACCAAGCAAAAGGAGCTGTGGGCCCCGCCCTCAGAACATCAACTGCTCGCCAGTGTGCTCAGGCCTGTGGGATGAACACAAACAAGCCGGGGCATTTGAGCAAGCCTTGGGGGACAGGGCAGGGGTTCAGGCACATCACCTGGAACCTCCTTCACCAGCCTGCAGGTCTCGGGGGGTGGGAGTGTCATCTGAGTCTCCACTGTGTCACTGCAGCCTGCTGGTCCCAGGACTCCTACAGGGCAACACTCGAGGCACTTGCATAAAATGCAGATTCCTGAGCCCAGCCATACACCTTTCTAACACGGGCCTCGAGGGGACTTCTCCTCCCTGAGATTTGGGGCCTCTGCCCCCAGGGTCTGTCCTGAACTTGGACACAGTGGCAAGTCTGAGGAAAGGTGCTGAAGGCACCCAGCACAGGAGCCCAGGGGAGGCAAAAGGAAAAAGGCTCTCAGCTTCTGCCACTAGAGGGAGCCGTGAGCCCTCAAACCGCAGGGCAGCCTCCGCCTGGATTCCCAGCCCTGAAGGAAGCAGCAGTTTCTGCAAGGTTCTCCCAGGGGCCACACCTGGGTTCGCAAATATTTGCAGGCTGTTTGACAACTATGTATTTCTTATCAGGCAATTTTACAGGCTGTCAGCTCTTAGCTTTTTCTATTTTCCTCTTTCACCCACTCTGTCACCAACCCCCATGCTCCCGTGACGAGAGAGCAGCAGAGATGGAAAGGGCAGTGGGGGCTGTGGATGGAGGCAGAGCTGAGCTGGATGGGGCCTCAGAACCCTCCTTAGCTCAGCCCTGCTGTTCTAGCAGGGACACGGGCCCACAGCAGGGAAAGGAGGCGCCAGGGCTGGGGGGGTGCTGCCCTGTCAGCTGAAACGGATAGGATGGCTGTTCTGATGATGGTCTGGACTGTCTCGTGGAAAAGGGTCCCTCCCTGGGTGGAGGCTTAGGGAGGGACCTAAAAACAACAGTTCCAAGCTTCCTAGGAGAGAGTAAGCTCCTGTCCAGAGCTGAGCTGTCTGGAGCCAGACCCCTCTCACATGAGTTCCAGCCGCTCAGCTCTGGCTGCCAGAGGGGGGCCCTGAAAAGGACCAGTCGCGTTCACACATTTGAGAGGCTAACCAGTGAACCGGGAGCTCTGGTAGCATAGTGGCTAAGACACCTGCCTGCTAACCAGACGGCTGGCGGTTCAAACCCACCAGCTACTCCTCGGAAGGAAGGTTGGGCAATCCTACGAAGGAAGGTTGGGCAATCCTACTTCCGTAGTGATACTGCCTCGGGAACCCAAGGAGGGCTCGCTATGAGTCGGGGCTGACTCGACGGCAAAACAACACCACCAACCAGTGAACCAGTGGTCGTGGAGGTGACTCGGCCTGAGGGTGACCCTGTGGGGCTCAGAGCAGCACTGTGCTCCACTGGGTTTCCAACGTCCACTTTTTCAGAAGAGACTATCAGGCTTTCTCCCCAGGTGCCCCTGGGTGGACTAGAACAGCCAACCTTTCAGTCAGCAGCTGAGCGTGTTAACAGCTGGCACCAGCCAGGGACTCCTGCAGGCTACTGATAAGGGCCCGTGGGGGAGCAGAGTTCCCTTCCCTTGCCCTGCCTTTGGGGGAACAAAGAAGCTGGGAGAGGAAAGACCTCATTAGGGGACTTGAATTTCAGGGCCCGGGTTCAGATGCCGATTCAGGTGGGGTGGCGGCTGGGTGAGGCCACTGTGCTCCTGCAGAGGATGGAGAAAGACGAGGGTGTGGGGCGTCTCTCACGCCTCCCCGACTCTGTCCGTAGGCCACTCTTGCACCTGCTTGTTCTTGGTCGTCTGCCTTACACACCATGTCTGGGGGTCAGGCGCTCTGGGGAAGGGCTTTCCAAGGGCACCATCCAGGTCAGCTTGACCAGCTCCCAGACACGGTGGGCGAACACTCGGAGGGCAGCGGCAGTGGCAGTGACAACCAAGTCCAAGTCCAAGTCCCCCATGCAGGGGGAACCCAATGCTGAGAGACGCTGAAGGCAGCCTGAAGGCAGCGGGGAAGGGACAAGACAATGGGCCTTTTGTTTCTATGGAAACAGCACCTCAGGGTGAGGGGGCTGAGAGAATGCTTCCACTTCACTTCCAGTCAGGACTTGGGAAATGGCCCCTTCTGTGGCTGGGCTGCCCCTCCCCCCGTCCTGCCAGGTGTTCACCATGGCAACACTTCCTCCAAGCGGGAGGTACAGAGCAGGGCAGCATCCAGTGCCGGGGATGCCTGGGGAGGCGGGCGGCTGGAGGCATGGGGATGGGCTGGTCACCCTTCCCTCAAAGGACATGGGCCCTAGGACACTAAAGGCATCTCTCGGAGCTTCCCTTGCCCCCTCTGTGCTCACAGGGGATTGTGAGGGCCAGCACCTAATCAGGACCTGGCCCCGCGGGGCCTTAATAAACGTCTCCTGGCTGCATGAGGAGCAGTACTGGGGTCCCATCGCACTGAGATTCACTGAGAATCCCAGACCCGTGGCAACTTTAAGAAGATAATGTGCCCCGAGCACAGACGGCTCTGTAACAGGCACTGGGAGTCCGCAGAGAGAAGGAGATGCGGTCCCCACGCTCCAGGCACTCACAGTCAGGTGAAAGCTGGGAAGTGGGGACACCAGAGTCCTGGAACACTCAGGTTGCCCAGGGTGAGACCTTGGGCCCTGCCAATATCAGTGCAAAGCCCACAGCCACAGAAGCAGAACTCCTAACCTAGAAACCCATTCTGCTCAGGGACACCAAAATGAGGAAAGAGGCCAGCCCTGGCTCTGCTGGTCACCACCAGCCCCCTGAGAAAGAAAGGCCAGGCAGGGCTTGTAGGGGAACCCAGAGAGACAGCCAGAATGATACCACTGTCCCGGAAGGGAGACAGTGTGCCAATCACCACTCAGCAAACACACACAGGCAGGGCCAGATGGCTGAGGTGCGGAGAGTGGGTCAGGGCGTCGGTGGGGCAGCAGGTGAGGTGGTCTAACTAGGTCAGGCCCTGACAGCAGCAACAAGGTTAGCTAGAAAGACCCCTGGACTCACAGCCAGGCTTGAGCCTCAGCTTTGCCACTTGGGGGTGCCATGTTTGTCTCTTCGCTTACAAAGACATAGCTTTCTGTCTGCCTTTATTTCTCTGAGTTATTGGGCTGTAGCTCCCAGCACATTATAGCGCCGAGGAGCTGGGTGAGACAGGCATGGCTGTCCCTTCTCAGAGAACAGGAGATGGAGACTCAGAGCCACAATGACTTGCCAAGGTCCCAAGGCAGATAAGGCCAGAGGCAGTGTGGGGACCTGGTGCTCTCTGACCCAGACCCAGCAACTAGCCTCTCCTTGACAAGAGCAGATGTGGTGCCCAGGGAAGAGTGCTCACCTGAGGGGTCGGTGCCGGGGTCCTCGCTGGGCCTCTTCCCCATCTTCAATTCCACCTCAGCAAAGGCCTCGGTGGGCAGGGGGCTGGCTGTGCCATTGGGTGCTGCTGGCCTCTTGGCCCGTCGGCTGAACAGCCTGCTGCCCAAGCGTTTGCCTTCCTTGGCTGGGGTGGCCTCCCCATTGGCCGCTTCTTCTTTGCCATTTCGGGCCAGTGCCTCGCGGGGCTTGGGTTTCAGGTCCACGTGCAGGTGAGAGACCACCTTCTGGCTCAGCCCTCCCAAGGGAATGGGCTCTACGGGGGGCAGCACCTGTTCCAGCCTCACCAGGTCATTGAGAAAGCTCTCCAGGCGCGGGGCCGACTCGCCACCTCCACCGCCCTCCTGCAGCTGCCCCTGCGGCTCCTCGCCCGCTTCCCGCTGCTGCCGGGCGGCCCAGCGCATCATCTCACCTGGTGGCTGGCGGCTGCCTGACACCAAGGCGTACTTGGGGTTGATGAGCTTGCGGGCCACGGTGGACGAGTAGCTGAGGCCAAACCTGCCGGCGCCTCCCGCCAGGCCCAGCTGCCGATACAAGTCCACCTCCTCGGAGACGGCGTAGAGTTCGCGGAACTCCACATCGAAGGGCTCCACATTCTGGCCTGTCAGGAGCAGGAGGAGGTTCCGGTCCACGTAGGAGGCGCTCCAGGTGAACCTGGGGACGTGCACAGAGAAAGCAAGACAGGTATGCCCAGGCTGCTGCCTAATCCTGCCAGTAGCCCCTCAACAAGGCCACCCCGAGGGTTCCCTGCCCCCGCCCCCGTGGGCCGGCCCACCTCAGCCGGACTCCTCACTGCCCTGGGGAGGGTGCCCCCGGCCTTGGCGCTGGACTGCTTGCCCTCCACTGGCCCGAATCTCCCTTTCATCCAGATCTTGGTCTCCAGTACAGAAGGCAGGCAGGAGCGGGCACAGGGCAAGAGTGTGAGGAGGCGGGTGTGGGCTTTCTGACTTTTATTATTTCTACCCCGGCTCCTTATAAAACGAGGCTAATAGGACCTGTGCTCACAGAGCTGCCACGAGGCTCAAATGAAAGTAACTTATATAAAATGTTTAGCGCATACCTGGCACTTACCTGCACATTAAACAAATAGTAATTGCAGTTGCTTAGGAGCTCTGGTGGCAGAGTGGGTAAGCCATTGGGCGGCTAACTAAAAGGTCAGAGGTCTGAAACCACCAGCCGCTCTATGGGAGAAAGACGAGGCAGTCTGATTCCATAAAGATTTACAGCCTTGGGAAACCTTATGGGGGTCAGAATCGACTGGACGGCCGTAGGTTTGGTTCTTTTTGGTTTAACTGCAGCTGCTACTATTGTCAATGTTACTCTATTACTTATTGGTCCCTCTTGGAATTTTATAGTCCTTGTTGTTGTTGTTGTTGTAATGTGCCGTCGAGTCGGCCCCGACTCATAGCGACCCCTCCTTAGGTTTCCAAGGCAGTATCACTATGCAAGTAGGATTGCCCAACCTTCCTTCCGAGGAGTGGCTGGTGGGTTTGAACAGCCAGCCTTCTGGTTAGCAGTCAAATGCTTTAGCCACTATGCTACCA